CTGAAGGGCATATGGCACTCTAGGCAACATTGACTAATGCTGCCATTTCCCATTGATAGAAATATTTGCATTTTTAGAATGATTCAGAAGGAGGGGTGGAGTTGGCACCCACTCAGTTTTGGAGCCCTATATCAATGTCTAAAGCTGGCCCTGAATCAGGGCAATACTGTTAATGTTGCTAATTAGATTAATTTGATCATTTTATTTGACCAAAGTAGAAAGTATATAAAGGCACCCTGACCTATTTTTATGATTATACACTGACAGGGTTATGGAAGCTATGAAGATGGTACATAACTCCTCTGTAATGAGGAAAAACTGCTTAGACAGATAAGGCTACAGGAATCATGGATGTAGGTAAATTTACCCTGAAGAATAAAATGATTTCTCATTGATACTTTTACAGAATCTGTTATCCATAAATAAATGTTGCCGTAATTGATCCAATGTAATTCATCATATATTTGCTCTGTTTCTGCCTATTTATATTATATAGCAATAAATATAACATTACTTGATATTTCATTTATAATACCTAACCTAATGTACTTGTCTTTTTATAGCATCATCTCCTTTTCCCAGTATTATATTTGTTGAAAGTTATTACTTTCACAGTTATTGCTATTAGATAATTAAGATATATATTACATATTTATTATGCAGGGTGAAGATTATTGCTTCTTTTGAATACTGAAAAAATGTATATCTTTTGTATACTGTAAGGTTGAGGCAAATGTAAACGTAATGTAGTTCTTCCCTTAAAAACAGTGGGTGACATGTTTATATCTTAGCTTTGTGGAAGATGGAAAAATTCTTTGTAGTGGTTACTGCTTATGTGTCTGAACTGAGACCTTGTAAAGATCCCCACCCAGATTATTTATTTTATCTAACTTTTAAACTAAAATAAGGATCCAAGACTGGTAATATATCTATATGTATACATAAGAAAATAGTTGTATGTGTAGCATTTTTGTCAGGCCATAGAAAGCTGTAATTCCAAATTCTAAAACCTCTTAAATCAAACCGGTGCTGAAATTATCTTTTCAGATGTCTATATTTTTCACATATAGATTATTCAGAAATTGTTGTTTGATAAATTCCACTATATTCCTTGAATCTCTCTTAGTTATCCAGACAACAACTAAAAATAATTTCTATCTTAAGTTCTACCAATTCAAACGGAAAGTAATGCTCTCACAAAAATGAATTAAATCAAATTCTTCTTGAAAAATGTAAAAGAGAAGTGTTCTAGTTTATCTTGTTTTCTAATATCTAATTTTCTGTATATTCCCTAGGTTCAGCATATTTATTCTGCAGTGGTAGGAGCTTGACCGCTTTAATATGATCTAGACTTCTCTTACTAATAGCATGTGCCCATCTCCTAGATTGGAAAATTTCTTGCTGTTTCTGTTTCACTCAATGCTTCACTCTTTTGCTCTATGTTGAGAAGATTACAGCAAGTTTAGGATCCACCCCCTCCCTTCTTTATTGTTGTGCCTCAATCCATTTACCCCAATTCTTTTCTCTCTTCTGTTGCTATAATCTGGGAGCTATTCTTCTGAAGTATTGCCAGGTCAGTAAGTGTATACTGTAAACTAAAAGAGGGTCAGAACTTATGTCTCCTGACCTTTATCCTAAAAGGGTATCAGGTGTGATACCTCTCTAAAGAATCTTGCTGGTAATCTCTTGTTGAGTGGGAGTGTCTGCTACAAACATTTCCTCCCAGTCTACCTTTCAATGGCACTTCACAGTACACTGAAAATTATCAGGGACAGTTAATTATTGGCCTCTTGGAACAACCCACCCACTTTGATTCAGGCATGCTTTCCCCAATATTTAAGAAGGTTATTTAGCAATGGTACAGTATAATTACAGAAAATAATTTGGGTTGGTTAACATTTTTATGTTTTGTATGTTTGGTTTACGAGTCTAAAAGCAGCTTCAGGTTCAAACTTTAAACGGTTCAGCATATGAGCAGAATTTTAACTGCTGAATGCCAGGAATCAAGATTTGCCTGTTAGAACTATGGAAAAATTGTATCACCGAAACTCATCAATAAAGGAACTTGTGATAGGAAGCTGGTGCCACTATATTTAGAGCTGGGGTAGTCAATTAATTTTCCTAAAGGGCCACATAAGAAACTGGAAATGTTGTGGAGGACCAAGCCAATAGGGCTGTGCAGTGGTGAAATGTAAAATTTGTTACTACCGGTTCGGTGGGCGTGGCTTGGTGGGGGAGGTGTAATATGACTGAGTGGGCGACTCAGGCAACTCAGCTGGGATTGTCAGAGGCTTTTAAAAGCAGCTGAAGAGGTTGTAAAAAAAATGCTTTTAAAAGCCTCTGACAATCCCAGCTGAGTTGCCTGATCGGCAGAGGCTTTCTTTTTAAAAAAAAAAAAAAAAGCCTCTGACGATCCCAGCTGAGTTGCCTGATTGGCAGAGGCTTTTTTTCCTTTTAAAAACATTTTTTCTATAAAAATACTTTTAAAAGCCTCTGATGATTCCAGTTGAGCCGCGTGATCATCAGAGGCTTTTTTTTTACTTTTAAAAGCATTTTTTCGGCCAAAGAGGTTGTAGAAAAAATACTTTTAAAAATTAAAAAAAAGCCTCTGATGATTGCGCGGCTCAGCTGGGCATGGAGGGGGGCAGGGATTTTTGCTACCGGTTCTCTGAACCACCCGCCTCCATCGCTACCGGATCGGATGATCCGGTCCGAACCGGGAGCATTTCATCCCTGGGGCTATGAAGGTGCATAGTCTCACACTCACACGCATATGAAATTTTTTAAAAAACAGCAGTCGCCTCCAAAATAAAAACAATGCAGTTGTATTGCATGCATAGCATATACTTATTTACATTTGATTTCTAATTTCTGATTGATTTCATATGGCTTGGACAGGGACAGCCAAAGGGATGGATGGATGTGACCCGGAGTCTGTAAAATGCCCAGGTCTGATTTAGAGTGAACATTTTTTTACACATACATACTCCAATTCCCAAACCTACTTTATACCTGTATCTAATCATCCATACCAAATATATTCTGTATTATAAATAAATCTTGAGGGCTAGGACAAAATAGAAAGATTACCATGCTAAAGGGAGAAAGAATCAAAATGCTCTGGCTGTAATAAGTTTTTTCATAATATGATTATACTGTTCCCAGCTAGAGACGCTTATTAGAAAAAGTTATACTGCGGGTACAGCTGCCTTTGAAAAGTTGAAAACTTCAAGCAACACAAAATGGAACTCCCTTGATATTGTTAGAGTTGATTAGTTCCTCAGAGGTCTTGTATTAATTTTAAACCTTGACTCTTTTGGTGTCTGAATCTCCTGCAGATGGTCTTTAAAGGCTATGTAATTTCAGTGCCAGATACTTGAAGGCTTGTTTTTTCACATTTGTGTTCAACTGTAAACTAAGCTTTTTCTCAGAGGACCTGATCCATTTGCCCAGTTTATTTTAAAAATTGTGGAGGATATTGCATACAATAGGATCTTCTCAGGAATAACACCAATCTTATGGAACTGCTGCCCTGGCCACTTTCCTCTCCACCTAAATCAGGTTAGAGAATTCTACAAAAATTTGGATCTGCAATACATGGATTTCTGGTCAATATGTGTTGCTTTTCTAACTTTTTAAAACAAGACCATATACAAGCTCAGAATTACTATAACACTAGAATTATATATCCTGTTATAGAATATCATGCACTTTTGTTTGTTTATTTACTAGATTTACCTACAATGTGTTTCTCCAAGAGCTCAAGGCGATATATGGGGGGGGGGGGGGGGGAGGGGAAAACTCCTTTATCTGTACTGCAGCAACCTTATGAATGACTAGTCCAAAGTCATCTCCATGGCTAAGAATGAATTTGAATATGTCCTGATCCAATACCTTAATTACTATACTGCACTCACTTCTTGTGACTGATTATATATTTTCAAATTCTTCTGAGATCTTATGCTTAAGTTATATTAAAAAGAACAAATTATTCTGAAATAGCTAGAGTTTCTGAATGGCTAGTAGCAATGTATACCAAAGACTTTGACTATGCACAGCCTCTAGATTGTTGAACAGAACCAGTGGGAACGATGTTATGTCATATCCTATTCACAGGTTCCTTAGAGGTACATGGTTGATTACTACTGGATTTGGGACACTGAAGTATACAGTAACATACCTTCTTACATTTGACTCCAAGGCACAATTGTTGTGATCTAGGCTTCCTGAGTCATTAAAACATACAAGTAGTCCCAAAAACCTCTTTTATTCCAACAGCTGTGAATTACATTCATTCACAGCTGAGTCCCAATTAGTTGCAAAAAATCCTTCGGGAGAAGTCCTTCGGGATAATCACCAACCTTTATCTCCCTTGACACGCTGCCAAAGACCTACTTGACAAAGCCACATGGAGTCCAGAATCAAACAGAGATGCCGACTGGAAACAGAATTAACAACACTGCTTTCCTGCAAAGGCCCCACATGCCTTTGCTCCTCTTTTAACCCTTATGGGTGGGGCCAATCATCTCCAGGCCTTACTCCTGAGCCGTCCCTTTAGTTTTAACTGTTCTTGCCTTCTGGCAGCTCTGCGCATGTGCGCACTAGGAACAGGCTGCTCTTGTTCCTCTGCTTCTCTGATGTCCGACTGTGGAGGCTCCAGAGTCCACGCATAACTCCCAGATGGCCCTGGGCCCATCTCTGCCTCTGACGCAAAGCCCTCGTCCGAGCCTTCCCCAAACTCCTGGACTGGCCCATGTTCCTCCCCAGCCTCCTCACTGTCCAACTCTGCTGCCAGCTCCACAGGCTGCTAGTGGACCACAACAACAATTACCTATGATTTCATTATACTACAGTTACATTTATTTCTCAGAAAACCTCTGTAAGATTTTCTATTCTCTGTGCTGCTGAAATGAAACATAGTGCCGTCTGTTGTAAAATGGTACTTTTTTCCATTGTTTAAAATAATATGCCTTTTTTGTTCTATTTCTGCACTTTCATAGGAAAAAATGCTTGCTATGCAACAAGAGAGAGAAGCTGCTATTCATCAATTTAAAAGTCTAGAAGAAGAACTGCAGACTCTTCGTATTTATTACAGGTAATGCCATTTCTATTATTTTTATTTTTTATTTATTTTATTAAATTTTTATGCCATCCATCTTGCTATCCAAAGCGACTCTGGGCAGTTTACAGTACAATTGTAAATGTGGAAAAAGAATGCAATATTATTCCTAAATATTACAAATATGCAACGCAAAAATGAATTAATATTCCAGAATTCCAGTCCACATCCATACTTCCTTTTAATATTATTTCAGCCTGACAAAGCTGGATCTTGAAACCTATATGGATGGCACTTTTCAAGCCTATTGTATTCCAAATGCCAGTGAACGAGTGTAAAAGCGCAGGAAGCATTTCTGATGTAACATAATTTCTTGGACTGGAGGTTAGTTTCAGTAGACCACTGGTTTGCAGATCTTAGGTTACAGATTGCCAATGTCAGTCAGCATCAGGGTTGTTATTTAAGATACCGATATAGCAGATTCAAATATCTTCCCCTTTTCAGTATTCAAATTCTCCCTGTTTATGTCCGCTGCTTAAGATTAGGATCATAAGAAAAATGAGAAAGAAAAAAATATTTTCATTTTCTTACCTAGAAACCTCAGTTTACAGGGAGGATACATGAGATGAGGGTGTGGCTAACTGATGAGGCCTTATAAGGCCGAAATAGATCTATCTTAGTCTCCCAATGGGAGACAGCAAATGGTCTGCTAGCTGCCAGAAGAAAAAGAAAAAGAAAAAGAAAAAAAACCCCAGAAACTAGTGAATTGTGAGTTCACTGAACTAGGGCTGCATAACATTGTTCCCTATGGAACAATCTACCCCCAGAGATACGAGTGATCTCCGACCTCCGACCTCCGTCGGGCCCTAAAAACTTATTTTTTTCAGTTAGCCGGTCTGTCTTGATTTTAGGGTTAGTTTTAAATTTTTAATATTGGTTTTAAATTGACAAGTTTTAAATTATGGGCCAAATTTATAAATTATTTTAACTCTATTTTTAACTGTAATGTTATGTATAGATGTTTTTATTTTGGCTGTTCACCACCCTGAGTCCGAAAGGAGAAGGGCGGTATAGAAATTTGAATAATAAAAATAAATAATAATAAAAATAACATCTTGGTTTATGTAGGAAGAACCTGGCTAAAGAGATATACACATAAAACCTACGAAAAAGATATATATATATATATGTCTTTGGTTATTCGGGTTTTCTCCCGTGTAGAATTGGAAGTGTCTTGGCGACGTTTTGACGAAGTCTCGTTCGTCATCTTCAGGCTGGTGTTTTCGGCTTCGTGCTTCTAGGAGCAATGTGTGATCGCAGCTGTTTCTTCCTTTTAACTGCCAGTGGGGGTGTGAACTGATTGGGTGGGAGCTTGGCTGTGTTCTGATTGGGTGGAGGTGTGTTCTGATTGGGTGGGGGCTTGGCTGTGCTCTGATTGGATGGGGAGTTGGCTGTGCTCTGATTGGATGGGGCTGTGTTCTGTTTAGGTAGGGGCTTGGTTGTGCTCGGGTTAGTCTGAGTTGCAGGGGGATTTGAGCTGGTGAGCTGCATTGCTGTTGTTTGGCTTCATGTTCATGGTCATGCCACATCTTCATGGTGGATGTCAGTTTGCTTCATGTATGGATTGGAGGGGTTTAAAGTGGCTAATGATGCAGCTGTGGTCTGGCTTCTGCTTGTGGTCGTGCCTCATCGGTGTGGGTTTGTTTTTTGCATGGATGTGTGGTGGTGACATCTTGTGTGGTTTTCGTGAGTGTGGGACTGGTGTCATTTTTAGTGTTAGGGGCTCGTTTGTCAATAAGGACAGTTTTCCAAATGGCTATTAGGCGGGAGGTATCATCTTGTTTATTCATGCTGTGTGGGCATTTTTCTATCTTGATAGCTTCTCTGATTATTCTGTTGTTAAAGTGTTCAGTTTTGGCGATAGTTCTGGTTTTTTTAAAGTCAATTTCATGTCCTGTGGCTCTAAGGTGTTGGACCAGGGAAGAAGTTGGTTCTTCTTTTCTGACTGAGTTCTTGTGTTCTTCAATGTGTGCACTTATTCTTCTGTTGGTTTGTCTGATGTATGTGGTAGGGCAAGCGGTGCATGGGATTTCATATACTCCTTGATTTTCTAACTCAATTTTGTCTTTGGGGTTTCTTAGAATGGTGGATATTTTTCAGTTTGTGCAGAATGCTGTCTTGATGTTGTGTTTGTGAAGGATCTTGCTGATTCTGTCTATGGTACCTTTTATGTATGGTAGGAGGGCTTTGCCATTTTCTTGTTCTCTGTCTTGGATTTTAGTGGGGGTTTCTTTTTGGATTAGGTTGGAAATCTTATTCCTTTGGAATCCGTTGGATGTTAGTACATTAGTGAGAGTGTGTAGTTCGGTTTTTAGGTGTTGTTCGTCAGCTAAGCGTTTTGTTCTGGAGATGAGTGTCTTGGCTACGGAGTTGATCTGTTCTGGGTGGTGGTGTGAGAGTACGTGCAGATAGCGGTTTGTGTGTGTTTTCTTCTGGTAGATGGTGTGTCCTAGGGAGCCATTGGATTTCTTGTAGACTAAGACATCCAGGAAGGAATGTTGGTTGTTAGCTTCTGTTTCCATGGTGAACTGTATTTTGGGGTGTAGGCTGTTGAGGTCTGTGAGGAAGTTGTCCAGTTTTTCTTTCCCATGTGGCCAGATTATGAAGGTGTCGTCTACGTATCTGAGCCAGAGTTTGGGTTTGTGATCAGATTTTTCTAGAGCTTGGGTTTCAAAGTGTTCCATGTAGAGGTTTGCAATGACAGGTGAGAGGGGTGATCCCATGGGTGCTCCTTCTGTTTGTTTGTATTTTTGTCCGTTATAGATGAAGTATGTGTTGGATAGGCAGTGGTTGATCAGATCTAGGATGTGCTTGGGGAGATTATATTTGTTTTGGATAGTTGTCAAGGCTTCTTTGATTGGCACTTGGGTGAAGAGGGATATGACATCGAAGCTCATGAGTAGGTCGCTGGGCTGTAAGTTTTGTTTCTTTATGATCTCTATGAACTGGAATGAATCATTCCCAGAGAGAAATCATCCAGATGCCCTAAGCTCTATGGTCTCCCCAAGATACACAAAGAAGGAACCCCACTTAGACCCATAGTCAGCTCCATAGGCTCACCTCTACAAAACCTAGCCAAATTTCTCGCCAAACAACTACTGCCCTATGAAGAATCCATCACCTCACACGTAAAAAACTCATTCCAGTTCATAGAGATCATAAAGAAACAAAATTTACAGCCCAGCAAGCATCAATTAATATGTTGGTTTACACGCAATGGACATAGACATAAACCGTAACCATAAACCATTCTTTCTTTTTTGAATCAAGGTTTATTGATTTTTTTTTCTTTCACACACCCCCACATATCTTATGAACAGAGTATTGACCATATCATATCTTATACAACTTATCATCTCCAAATACATTTTACATAGTTACAATTTCTGCCAAAATATTTTTTCCATACTTTTTTATCTTATCTTAATACTTCTACGCTTATTGTATAAAGAACATCTTCCGCCCTTAAATTCTAATTTCTTCATTATTAATCATCTATATATTCTTTTCACTTTCATATTAATTCATTCTTCATCCTAATAAGTTTATACATGTTCATGTTCATGTATAAACTTATTAGGATGAACCATTCTTTCCTCTAGCTTAAATCTATTCATAGATTTTAAAATGTTTGGCATGTTTAAAGAATCCAAAAAATCATCGATTTGAAATGGCCCACTTTAAGCCATTTGGTCCAACTCTCTGCTCAATACTGGAATACAAATTATAGTCTTGTGACAGACGGCTGTTCAGCCTCTTCTAAGTAATTCTAATGTTGAACTGCTCTTATTGTAACGAACTTTTCCATGACTCAACTGGAATTTGCCTCCCTGTAATATAAGCTCATGATTCCATGTGCTACACTTTGGGACAATAAATAACAGGTCTTGGCCTTTCTGTATGTGACATCCTTAAGCTATATCTTTGAGCTCTATTTGCACATAATGTGCAGGTGTATGGGGCAGGTTTTTCAGCCCAGTTTGGCATCAGCAGGAATTATTCTGGGGCAGCTGCCAAAGACAGAATGCCATTACTACCTTCCTTAGGAACTTTATTTTTAAAACATAATTTTAAAAGAAGTATGGGGTATGTATAATACTCATGCAGCCGGGTCTGTGACCTGTCCTTTAAATTCCCTTCATCATTTCAGAATGGCAGTACTTCACTGGCATTGTGGGTAATGGATGAGGCACCCATTCAACTCTTAACAAAATGCTGTTTCTATTTCTGTTAGAGCAGAATCACTTAAATTTTAAAGTCTAAATGTGGTAGACTTTGCCAAACCTTAGTTAAAGCATATTATATACATCAAAGCTTTAAATATACAAATCATCTCTGAATACTTTTCAAATATATATTTTTCAGTGTCATTATCTTCATTATCATTATCTTCATTATTTTATTTAATGAAGATTCATAGGCCCAGATTATGCTGAGATGTTTCTACAGTTTTAGGGAAAATGTACTCTGTTTCCCCCAAAATAAGACATCCCCTAATAATAAGCCCAGTTGGGCTTTTGAGCACATGGCAATAAGGCCAAGTGCTTATTTCAGGGTTCCAAAAAATATAAAACAGGGTCTTATTTTTGGGGAAACACAGTAGTAAATTATGCAAATATTATATTATGGAAAGCACAAATTAAGACAGGCACCATTATCTTGTTCTGTAATCCAGTCCTGGTCAAACGATTCAAAACTGCCAATAAAAACCAACAAGAAGGTGAAGTACAGATATATTCTTCACTCTGTCTGTCCACTGATCAAGTGAAACTTGCTACCATCCAGAACATTTTGACAATTTATGACAGGAAAGTCAAGAATATGTTATTCTAAATTTAAATTTTATTATTATTTTTTTAAATAAGATTTCTAAAAAAATTAATACAATCTCTTTTGTGTTCCTGGAATTGCAATTGCAGCCATAATTTAACATTTTAAGGGGAAAAAACATGGCTAATACTACTATATAGAATAGA